ATAATAATAATAATAATAATAATAATAATAATAATAATAATAATAATAATAATAATAATAATAATAATAATAAATTACTACATATTAATCAATTCAGCAACGCTTATGATAATTAAATATCTTACCAATACGAGGAAATTAAGGGCACGCGTATAATTCTTTAATCCAATGTATACCATTGCTCCATAGTAATGGTACAACAGATGATCTATGTACGAGATGCCCGTTCCCTGACATCAGCAAAGGATCATTACAATGTTAATTTTATTTTTAAATACCGTATATTCACGAATTTTTGTTTTATTCACCGTAGTATCAATTTCAGTTATATCATGATCCAATATTGGGAGCGCTTGTCTGTAGCATTTGGTCAATAAACATTCCTTTTTGATTAAATAAATAAATATATATATATTAAAATAAGGTATCAAAATGTTATATATAAAGTCGCGAAAAAAAAAAGAAATTTAACCTTAATAAAAAATTGATGTAAATTCGTCAAATGATTTGCAGATGGTGAATATCTTTGAAGAGCATGTGTGAGCGGTTTGATGGAGATTATATTCTAAAAATTAAGCTTGTCAAATATATCTGATTTTTTATAATTTAAATAAATAGTCTAAGAAACTACAGCTCACATTTCCATATAAATTTGCTATCCTGCATAGTCCTTGAGCGACTTGTAAAACTATTAATCGGAATAAAAAAAAGCCCATTTTGATCAGATTATAGAGGATTTAATGCTTATGGCAAATTTTTTACACACATTTTTCGGGTGTCAGTCGAATTTGATTCGGATCGAAGCTTCGTAAGAACTCAAGAATGTAAGTTAATAAATTAACCACGTCGGGTCTTTCTACATTACAACGTGCGACACTATATAAGAAAAGATTTGTCAGCGCAATTATCAAGTAAAGTGTAATAAAAATGAACTCTCAACATACAGGAAATATGCATAAGGCACACTATAGAGGGATGGATCGAGACGTTCGAGAGGATCTCTATTGTCCGCCGTATTTTGCAAGAAAAACTGTTGTTGAAGTTGTCTGAGAATCGGGGAAATATGTTTTGCAATGAATTCTGCACGATCTTCGGTATGATTTAAAAGGGCTTCAATAAGCTCATCAACGGTTCCAACTTGTTGGATAGGCATTTTTTAGACTTTAAAGAAGAAGGCTAGCTAGTAATATGCCTAAGAACATTTAATCAATCGTCCGATAGCTTAAGTCATCCAACGTTTTCGGAGCTGATCAACGTTTCGTGTAACGTCCAGTTATATCTATATATAATATGGGATCCGTTAAAGCCAACAGGGGTGAACGTCCCGAGTGCCCCGAGTTTGTAGATCGTTACACAATTAATTAAAGATTTTTTTTTATACGT